GGTGGAGGGGTGCTGAGAGGCTGGGACTGGCACAGTTGGAGAGCTGGGCTTTCTTATCCCCAAAGGCAGGGGGAACCGCCTCCTAATAGGATAATAAAAGGCTATTTTTGAGCTAGGAGGACCACAGTATGTCAGACAAACCATATGTCAATAATGACATGTATTTAGTGGCAACAAAAACATTAGCCGCAGCAGGGCCAAGTAAAGCTGGCAATTTTCATCCAAACCAATTTTCCAAGCCAGAATCTTTGAGTAGCTAAAAACAAGAGTTTATAAAAGAAGCTGGGTGCAGATTTAAGCCCTTACGCTGCAATGTGCAGTGCACAGATCTGTGGTGCTTGCAGAGACCTGCACAACTTCAGTGGGGCTTTGCATGAGTACAGCAGTCCACTGGGGCACTGTAAATTGCAGGACTGGGGTCTTAATTAAGAACGGGCTGTTACTGTTCCATAATAAGCCCTCTGTGATTGTAACATTTGTGTCACCTGAAAACGTCCAGCCAGCTCTCTTCATACCTGGGAATGCTATAGAAATACATCAGAAGGCGAGCAAGCTCTGTGTTTGTGGAATGTTCACTTGACCAGATGGTATTTCTTGTGCAGACTTGCACCACCGCTCTGCCTCCCCGGTCTCTGCTTCCTAAGCAAGAAAAACACACAAAGAAAACCTTTTGAGAAAGCAGGACTCAGAATATGTGATTTAGAAGTAGGTGTGTCAGAAAAAAAAAACAAAGCAGAAACTCTTATATGTGAGAATCACAGTGATTTTTCATCCCCTGCATTTATCTTATTCTGCTGATTGTGATAGTAAGATTTCTTATAGAAGATTATTGTTATGTATTTAAATCTCTACTGGTGATTTTGATGGGAAAGAGCTCTAGCTGGTGTCACTTGGCTTGGCTCCATTGAATGGAGTTGGCAATTTACACCAGCTGACCCTAATATCTTCTAAAAATAACTTTTTCTATGGCAATCAATTTATCTTGAGAAATCTTTAAGAGGTCTGTGTTTATATACTGGGCATGTGTTTATTCTTCATTTATCATCAGGCACACTGTTATCTGTAATTACATACCACATAGAGAAAGGGCTCCAGATTGCAGTAATTCCTGGTTGATTTCAAGTAATTGGTTTGGTAACCTGTGGCAAAGTTCTCCAGGATTTGTAGACAGCAGCTCACTCTCACAGTGGAATAACCCAGGCAATGCATTTGTAATTGTGTTACACTCATCACCCTGGACACTGTCTCTTGAGTCTATTACTGTTGAGTGCTGAGGAAAATCTGGCCAAATGAAAGACAATTCGTTAAAAAAAAATTCATTTCTGTGTATCTGAAAATTGCTCTTTAGACAGTTTCCTAGCATGCATATATAGGCTCAAACAGAATAGAACCAACACAATCTAAAGATTACTTTAAAATAAATGAGAAGTTATGAAGTTAAGCATCCAGAAGTTAAGAAATTCCAGAATGAAGGTTGCCTGTCTGACCTGCATGATACAACCTAATTACATGATCACATAGTAATGTTTCCACCGCACTCCTGCTACTCTGCAAACTTGCTGAGGGTGCAATCCATCCTCTCATCCAGGTCATTAATGAAGATGTTAAATAAAACCAGCCCTAGAACCAATCCTTGGGCCACTCCACTTGAAACCAACCGCCAACCAGACATCGAGCCTCAATCACTACCTGTTGGGTCCGACAGTCTAGCCAGGTTTCTATTCACCTTACAGTCCATTTATCCAATCCATATTTCCTTAACTTGCTGGCAAGAATATTGTGGGAGACCATATCAAAAGCTTTGCTAAAGTCAAGGTATATCACATCCACTGACTTCTCCACATCCACAGAGCCAGTTACCTCATCATAGAAGCTAATCAGCTTGGTCAGGCATGACTTGCCCTTGATGAATCCATGTTGACTATTCCTGATCACATTCCCCTCTTCCAAGTGCTTCAAAATGGATTCCTTGAGGATCTCCCTCCGTGATTTTTCCAGGGACTTAGGTAAGGCTGACTGGTCTGTAGTTCCTTGGATTATCCTTCTTCCCTTTTTTGAAGATGGGCATTACATTTGCCTTTTTCCAATCAACCGGGATCTCTCCCGATCTCCACGAGTTTTCAAGGATAATGGCCAAAGGCTCTTCAATGACATCTGCCAACTCCCTCAGTACCCTCGGATGCATTAAATCCGGACCCAGGGATTTGTGTATGTCTAGGTTTTCTAAATAGTTCTTAACCTGTTCTTTCTCCATCAAGGGCTGCCCACCTCCTTCCCACACTGCATTGCTTAGTGCAGTAGTGGGGGAGCTGACCTTGTCTGTGAAGACAGAGGCAAAAAAAAAAAGCATTGAGTAGTACTTCAGCTTTTCCCACATTGTCTGTCACTAGGTTACCTCCCTCATCCAGTAAGGGCTCCACACCCTCTCTGATCACCCTCTTATTGTTAACATGCCTGTAGAAACCTTTCTTGTTACCCTTCACATATCTTGCTAGCTGCAATTCCAATTGTGCTTTCGCCTTCTGATTACTCCCCTGCATTCTTGACCAATATATTTATACTCCTCCCTAGTCATCTGTCCAAGTTTCTACTTCTTATAAGTTTCCTTTTTGTGTTTAAGGTCACCAAGGATTCCCCCAGTAAGCAAATCTGGTCGCCTACCTAAAATAGAAAGAGGCCTACCATGCCTCTTTCTATTTTACAATGTTTAATGGCAACAGAGAGAAAGTTCATAGTTCATTGGCTGACATCTCACATTTCAGAGATGTGAGCATCTCACAGTGTAGCACTCAAAAGTACAACCACAAGAAACAGGGAGAAATCAGAGTTTTCTCACTAGCAAAGGAAAATTCGGCTGGAAAATGGCTACTTTCAAACATCTGAAAGTCTTATCAGCAACAAGAGAGAAAAAATAGGAATTAAAAGCTATAAAAATATACTGTACTAGACATCATCCCATGACACTTTACATTACTATATCATTATAGAACCTCCCCCCCCCCAGTACTTTATGCTAGTGCTGCAAAATGAGCAACATTGAGTTAATTATGGAATCACCTTCTTGGCACAATAAAGCAACAAATGGCAGTGTAGTTGATTCAATGCCAAACTAAAGCTGTGGCAAGGCACCTACTCAACTGTGAAGACAAGGAAGTGCTGTGTCGTGGCTATGGGCCTACGACTTTGGAGACTGGGATGTTGTCCTTTGATTTTACCAATTTACTTCCTGTGACCTTGAAAATGATCACTATATGTAGTGGGGGCGGCTGTCCTACTCTGGCCGGAAGGGGTTAAAGCAAGCGGGAGGGACCCTGTGGAGAGGCCCAGCCAATCAGCGAGAGGCGTGTAAGAAGTCAATCAGAGGGTAGCTTGCTGGAGCAGCCCTGTTATAAAGAGCTAGTCAGCAGAGCAGAGGGTGGTTGGGTCCTGACTAAGGAGGGTGCAGTAATGGCTCCCAGCAAAGGAGAAGCACCTTGGATAGAGCAGTGCTGGGCAGCCTAAGGGGAGCTAGAGAGGGGAGCTGATACCTCCCAGGCTGTGGCCTTGATACAAGGACCAAGTAAGTGCAAGGGGTCACAGGGAAATGGCACAGGAAGCAAGGGGCAGTAGAGGGGAGTAGAGTAAAGGAGGGCAGGACAAGGCTGCTACCAGAGGGTCTGCTACCAGAGTAGTGGATACTGGGTCCTCCCGCTTCCCCCTTGCACTGCATCTAGTCACCACTGGAGCGTGGCCTTGACAGACTGCAGCTTGCCCCGGAAGTGAGGGGCTAGACTTTGGCTGCAGTTGGCCATGGTAGCAGAGGGGAGATTGACGGCTGCTGATAGCTCTAGAATGAAGTGAGAGATCAGAGTGTTGGGCACAGCTGGAAGGCAGTGTCCCTGAAGAAGACACCATGGTCTGGAGAGCAATACGGGCCCAGAGCTAAAGTGCGGCGAAAGCACAGAGCAGTGACAAGCAAGACGCTGGCCAGAAGAGGGCATCCTGCTGAGGACTGAGTTAATTCCCAGAGTGACCAGCAGGAGGCAGCACGGCAGTGAATCCTGATCCCGTTACACTGTGACAAGTACTTTTTATTGTAACTAAAAAAAAAAAAAGGAGCTTTAGGCAATCAGTACAACTATATGAGTGGGCCAGCTGCTCAGCTGGTATAAATCATCATAGACCTCTTTAACATTAACATAGCCACGCTGATTTCCAACACCTGGTTTATTTGGAAATGTTTTCAGACATTGGGACAGGCAGATGGCTGCACTATCTCTGCAGGACTTGGCAGGGATATTAACGCTAAGAGTGCATTGTACTGAAAAGTACGAAAGTAAATAAAGGCTTTCAGCGATGTCAGTGAAAATGCACAGCACCTTGCAGGATCAGGCCCTGTGTTTTCAGAGGAGCCACTAATCTGAAAGCAAGGCTTGGAACATAGCTCTGTGGTTAGAATAGTTTATAATGGCATAATTTCAATGCTTTCTGGGAGGTAACTGGTTGAAAGTACTTTATCTGCAGATGCTGGTCTCCTCCCCCAAAAACCACTTTGCTGAGAAAGTTCTCTCTCTCTCCCTCTCTCCTCCTCCTCTTCCTCCTCTCGCCCCCCCCCAAAACACGTCTTCAGAATCTCTGCTGCCCCATGTGGGTTCTCCAGCCAAGGGGGCCGATGCAAACTCGGAGAAAGGCAAAAAGGGTGATATTTCACTACGCCAGTTGCCATGTATTCAAATTGGAAAAATAGGCTAGGGAAAAAAATGCAAGAGGAGGCAGCCCTGCTCTGTTATCCTGAGGAAACAGAGTATTCCAGCTGACAGACAGAGTAGATGCTTCATGAGAACAGATCTGTTCAGTCAGAGAATGAAAACAAGGCCAAAGATTCACTCTCCTGCCCCACTAGCAACTGAGGTAGAGAGTAACAGAAAATCTCCCAAACCAACTGGAAGGTGAGATGGAAGAGACTTCATCCTCTCCCTATGATGCTGGAGCTACACAAGTTTTGCTACAGTCCTTAAGCATGAGTTCCCCATCCCTACCTGTCATGTAGCTGTGTAGTCTTCCATCTAAAGTAGGCTCTTACACTCAGAGGATTAAGTGACTTGATGCAGAGCCAGTTTATGTTGTCATCAGAGGCTGGCATGCTACTTAAGTTAGGCCAGGAATTGGCTTTTGAGTATCATTGTCAGCTTTTTTGTTGTTTTTTAAACAGATCATGACTCTATAGCCTGGTGTAAATCACTAACCCTTGCTAGGATACCATTAATATAGGTCACCATGACTCCAGATTTTGTCAGTTTACTCTTAGATATTAATTACATTAAATTGTTCACTGAAAGACTAGTGAAACCCAATACGCCTTATCATTTAAAGACTATCAAAACATTATAGCAGGATGTCCCCAGTTTCAGTCCCCATGCTCCAAGTTTTCAAGACAACATTCTGCATTATCTTGTTAAGACAGTATCCTTGCATTATCTACTGATGTTTAATTCTTTAATGCCATGAGCTAAGTACTAAATCATGGCATTACAGAATTAAATAACATCAGTAGATTAACAGAATCTGGCACACATCCATAGCAAATGCCCTGTTGGGAAGCTTGAAATCACTGGAGATTTGTCACCACACAAATTGGAATGAGAGGGAGAGGGCAGGAGAGGGAAAGGGAAGAATCTCTACCCAGATTAACCTCTCCAAAACTGGTGCAGAACTCAATATGTTAATAAAAGTTATACACTACAAGCTCCCAATGACATGCCATGATACTGAGCAAGGAAAATATATTTAAAGAAGATTCTTGTCTTAGAAATTACCTGTTCAGTTCTTAAAAAAATAAAATAAATTATAACTTCTGAATTTCCCTTGCACCTGGAAGCATAACCTCTGAACTCTAAATGAGGGGGAAAATAAACTCTAACTCCCAGAAGCTGAATCTGAAACCTCGGTCACCTCTGTTGCCAATCTTAAAATCAGTTGACCATAACATGACATTTTTTTTTAAAGTTGAACTCTACAGTGAAGTCAATACGAAATTTTACTTAAAAGATTATGGCATGTTCTGGCCCACTGACATTTTTATATTGTGTCTTGACATGTTTGAAGGTACAGTTAATATTATGATAAGTACACATTGCCTGAAATATAAGAACAAAGATAAACTAGAGATGAGGGAGGAAAAAGGAAACACAATTTGAAAGTTTCTCTGTTGTTTAAATGCCAAGTTGACGCAATTTTGTAAAAGTCTTTCAGCAACCATTAAAGATATGTTCTATACCATTTGTAATTCAGTACTACATTTGTTATAACCAACCACACACTTTCCGTTATTTGAAAAACAGACTCAGATAACTTAGTTTGGGAGGGCATAGGTTATGTTGGGATAATGACTGTTTCATTAGAAAAGTAGTATTCATGGTGCTCACAGGACTGCATCTCACAGCTATTTAACACTTACTTATCCACTGACAATTTGCATTTAAAGAAATAGTTGTGATTTTTTGTACTGATGAAAACCACAGAGACACAATTCATGTTGTTTATAATGTGTTAAATACAAAGTATAGAGGAGCGATTCCAAATCTTCACTATGGCTACGTCTAGACTGGCCCCTTCTCCGGAAGAGGCATGCAAAGCAGGCAAGTCAGAATAGGGAAATCCGCAGGGGATTTAAATAAACATGGCCGCTGCTTTTTTTCCGGCTTGGGGAAAGGCCGGAAAAGAGCGTCTAGACTGGCGCGATCCTCCGGAATAAAGCCCTTTTCCGGAGGATCTCTTATTCCTACTTGCAATAAGAGATCCTCCGGAAAAGGGCTTTATTCCAGAGGATCGCGCCAGTCTAGATGCTCTTTTCCGGCTTTTCCCCAAGCCGGAAAAAAAGCGGCGGCCATGTTTATTTAAATCCCCCGCGGATTTCCCTATTCTGACTTGCCTGCTTTGCATGCCTCTTCCGGAGAAGGGGCCAGTCTAGACGTAGCCAATATGTCCAGCATTTATGCTTTTGGTAGCATCTGTAAAATTCCAATTGACTCCAAAGGCACTACATGGGATTAATTGATAGCTGAATTTCATAAGTGTTTGATCAGTTTTTTAAAAGCAGAATATACAAAGCATTCTGAAAAGCATACCTTAAAGCAATGGAAATAAAACAAATTTACTTAAAGTATTAAAAACAGTAATAAAATAGATGTGAAATAACAAAAACACTAATGTTACTACTATTTGTTCTTTAAAACTGAGCTTAGAAAGCAGAAAAAAGTAATTTTCTGTACAAAGTTTATATATGTTAAAGAAGGCAAGCTAAAGATTTATTAAAAAATAAAAATTCATGTTTGATTTTGGTTTTTACCTTCACCCTCCTTGTTGCATTTGTTGCTTTTCACTGTACTGAATAAATGACCATTAAAGTCTAACTTCCCTAGTCTTAAAGCATGCCCATGTAAGTGCTTTTTAGGGTTTGCACTTGCTGAGCTATCTGGGAACAACCTTGGACCATGATGCTTACCATGAAAACTCTTATGTGACCTATCTAAAGAATGAGACCTTCTCGGTCCAGCCCTGCAATCTGCTCCCGCGAAAGTTTCATGAGGTGCAAGCAGTTTTTCTGAGGCCTGGGAACAATCTTCAGGCCTTCTGACCTCTCTTGTTTCCTCCTTTGGTGCAAGTCTATCTCCAAGAAGATCTTCCTTATGAATATATTTCTCACAAGATTTGCTCTCAGAGATTCTCAAGTCCTCATTCGTATCATGTGAGTCCACTATCTGGTCTGAAGTTTCTTCTTCTGCAATTGACTCCTCTGAGCTGGAACCAAGATTCATTGGGTTTTGCAAAGCTTCTATGTATGACTTTCTAAACAAGCGTCTTGTCTCAAAATATGAAGAATCCCTGAGTTGTCGTCTTCTTGGACAAGGACTGCTCAAATCCGTGCTGAAAGTTATACTTTTGATACTGTTCTTTTTCTCCATTATAGGAGATAATGCTCCACCTCTAAATACCTCAGGTGTCATTTCAGGCGCAGCGGCCTGTGGTAAAACACTGTCCATCATGCTGGGGCACTCCTCAGTCAGCGTACTGAGATTTATGTGCTCTCCTTTGCTCTCCTCAGCTGGGGTCCCAGGTAATTCTAAATCAGCCCTACTTTCTGCAGCATGAACTGGAATATACACTTCACTCCCTTGGTTTCCATGATTATCGGTAAGTGTTGCTTCTATGACTGTAGAGCCAGTATCATTGGAAGTGGAACTGTCATGTGAACTATTGCTCTCCATGGTCTGTGTCATTGTTTTCACATCAGTATTACTGCTGATTAACTGGGCAAGGAGAGGGCTACTGGAATAATTATGCAGGATTGTTTCAGCTGTTGGGACAAAAATAGGATTCACTATGTTCTTCCAAGGAGTTCTATAGACTGCTGTTCCAGTGGTAAGTAAGCAACTTTGCAAGGGAATGCTCTCCCTTTCACAATTTACATTTTCCAAAAATTCTGCTGTAAAAACACATCCATACATGGTTTCAGGTACAATAACTTCTTCTGTTCCTTGTCCATGTCGGGAGAGACACTTCAAAACTAGTTTTGCTGACTGTTTCCCAGCTGGAAGAATTTGTAAGTAGAAATCCCCTGGTTTCAGACGGACTCTGTGAAGAGAAGCTAACTGTACCACCACTTTTTCATGGATGCACAGTGGCCAGCCTTCGTGGTAGAAAATAAGACCAGTGTATTTAGCCTGTAAGGAAAAAAGAAAGCAAAATGTCTGAGGAAAAATATCTTTATCTTGGACAACAGCATTTAGCTATAAATATAAAATAATGGGGTCAAATTCTGCATCAGCAACTATTCCATCACTGAGTCCTATGCAATTAGACAGGGTTATAAAAGATCTGCATAACAATCATAACACAATTTAAGCTGTGTCTTAAGATAAGGTGATATCACTATTGTGCCTCTTCACACTAGAATAAACTACCAGTTTACTGTTACATCCCACGGTGCAGCCTAATCACATTAATAGAACTGATAAAAGTTTCAGGAGAAGGCAGATCTCTTGGGTATAGAAAAAAGGGCAGCAATAGGTCACACACAGACAAGCAGATAACTTTGCCATTAGGAGCAAGCTTAAGATAAGCCCAAGGATAAAAACAGCAGCCAAGGGGAAGGGTTTGGATTTTTCAAGCTTTGCAGTAGCACCAACTACCTGTATATTTTTTGCATTTGAAATCAAACTAGTTCTGATTTTGTCCAAGTTGCAGGAAGTTTGAGAATAATCTAATCAGATATTGGGGAAAAAAATAAGAAGGAAAACCTTCTGTGATAGCCTGCTTCTGGAACCCTAGCCCTTTCCTGCCCCCCTCCTACTCCACTCAACACACCCAAACCCTCTGGTCCTCCTCTTATACCCACACTCACTCCCAGATCTGGCACCCCAATCTCCTGCTCCAGATCACAATCCTCTCCTATCCTAGGTCACATCCCAAACACCTGCACTCCAGTCCCCTGCCCTAGGTCATAGCTGCCTGCTTCATCCCAGCTCCCCCCCAGACTCCAGTCTCCCTCCTGCACCCCAGACCCTTACCCCAAGTTCCCTTCTGCACCCAACCTCCATCCCAGACCCCGCATCTCTTCCATTAATATCATGGAAGAGCATGGTCCTTGACCACTTTCCAAAATTTTGGAGTAGCTCCCCATCAAAAATTATTGCCCACCCCTGGTGTACACTATACACCTTTCATTGTTTGCAGATAAGTTCAGAATATTTGGAGAGCAAGGTCCAAAACACCCTGCTTGAAACACCCTGTCTGCTTGCCAGGAATGGAATATTTCATGCTGGACAATCTCTTTCTTTGCCTATAGATCTCTAATGACAAATGACTCTTGCCATTTGGAATCACCACTGATCTTCATATATGCCCAACTGCCTTAAACATTCTAACTAATACCATAGGAACAGCAAATAACTTTTTAAAACCCTACAATAAGTTTATGTAGGTGAAGGAATGCACATTCCTCTTCCCCTTACTAAAAGTAAATGAATAGTATAGATATGAAATATCGAGATGGAATGTTACCTCAGGCAAAAATGCACCTGCTGCAAAATCTGCCTACATCTGGGACTAACTAATACAGCATAAAGCTGGCAGGGTCATAACATGCAGGCAGAATGCAAAGAAAGATTTAAGGACTGTTGCAGCTGTAATTAGGGTAATTTATACAAAATGTACTAACAGATAAGGTAGGCTCTGCATACTAGGGATATAAAATTTTGATTATTTGGCTAATCGAATAGTCAATGCAATCTGCACCAACTATTTGATTAGACAATAAGGGCACTTCTGCCCGAGGGCTATTGCTACACTTCAAAGGCAAAAGCGCTGTGGGGAGCATGGAGCCAGCAGGAGACTCGCTGGCTCCATGCTCCCTGCAGCATTTCAAAGCCGACATCAGGCTCCACGCAGTGTTTCAAAGCAGCAGCCCCGCATATGGAGTGGGGGGCTCCATATGGTGCTGCTGCTTTGAAACACTGCATGCAGCCCAGGCCAGCTAGGGATGCCCAGCTGTTCCTTGGCTGCACGCAGCATTTCAAAGTGGCAGTGCCACATGGAGCCCAGGGTCTGGCGCCAGGCTTCACGCAGTGCTGCCACTTGGAAGCACCCCCTCTTCTTTCCCCAACCTTGCTGCCTCTTTCTGATCAAAGCAGCGGGGGGGGGGGAGGGGGGAGCGACTAGTTGACTAGCCTGTCGACTATCCGATAAGCATATCGACTAGTCCTTCACCTCCCTACTGCATACTTCAAAAAAAGTTATTCTAAAATAATCCCACCCCACACAATATTCCTTCTATTTAATTTCTGATAACTTCCTTATTAGTGGTCACTAATGCTAACGTACATATGACACAGTTTAGCCAATAAAAGAAATACTTTAGTGAAGTGATGAGGAGGGTGAATTCTTCTGTGAGGATCTAGATATTGAGGGAAGCTCCCCATTCCCACTAGCAGGGTGGTCACAGCTGTTTCCTTAGTACCATCACCCAAGCCACAGACCCTAGGCAGATTACATGGGAGGGAGCAGTGGTTAGGGACAAGTAGCCCCACCTGCCAGCTGTAAATCTGCCAAGAAGTTAATGCAGTCTCTAGTTCTGCAGGATGGGGGGTAGCCCGTGTCCTCCTTAAGGGTATCATATGAGGAAGACTCCACAAAAGGAATCTCAGTTTCCCTCCTTCCTGGCCTCATCCTATTGTGCTTTGATGGTGTTGTGTGATTTTGACCCCCATTCCTCTAAGAAAGAAACAGTTTCTCCTTTTCCGTCACTGGTAGTTTGTTCACAAAAATGCCAAACTATACATTCAATCGGGGGCAGGAGGGGTGATAATTTACCCAAATTGAAAATAAGCAGCTGCCGTCACGATTTTTTCGGCCTCTATTTATCCCCCAGCTTTTATTCTAATCTAATTAGTCACTCTTCATGGCAAACACATTTGCAGCTTATTTCTTTTAGAATTCTGTAATAGTAAACTCAGTGTTTAAAATTCACAGTAACAGATGAAAATTACTAACAGCTTTAATTATCTGGAAGGAAGGCTTCAAGACAACATTTCTGGTCCTTAATATTCTGTACTGTAATGTTATACAGTTTATGATGAACAGATTTCATTTTAAAGTAAAAGTAATATATTTGTGTAACAAGAGGAAAAGAAAAACAGGTCACAGAGACTAGTGTTATTTATGTCACCACAACCAAACAAAAGGCCTGTCAAAAACTTAGTGCAACATTCCTATTCTATAAATCTACTCATTTTGACAATCACTTAATTATTTTTTAGGGGGAAAAAAGATAAGCTGGAGTTTGCAGTTTTATCCCATATGGTCTTTAACCAGGCAACATTCACTCGCAGGAAAAGAGCCTTTTCCCAGCTCCACAGCTAATGACATTTTCAACAAATTGTTGAATTCCTCAGAGACCATGAAAGGTGACAAGAAGTTCAGAAGGAAGCCAGCCATCCAGAACTGGGTTTTAAAAACTATTAAGAAAAAAGATTTTCGAGCCACTTCCAAATCAGAGGGAAAACAATGCAGGCAGACTGACAATAAGATATGCTGGTCTAGTGGACATAAGAGGAAAGAAAAAGCTGAAGTGGGGAATGTTGGAAAGCAGCTCTCAATTGTTAGTGTGGTCAGCTTCACAAGCTCTCTAAAATGGGCTGTCTTGAAACCAAAGAAACACGCTTCCCTAAAAATCAATTAAGAATGACCTCGATAGATTGCCTGCTGCTAAACATGGCAATGGCTGTTTCTCTAGCCATCATTCATACTTATTCACCCCCCAAAATATATTGTAATGTTACCAAGGAAATATAGTATCACTTCATATGGAAAATTCACCTGTAGAAACAGACTGTCCAGCAGGAAAGAAGGAGTAACTATTTTCCCAAGAAACAAAGAACCACCGCTCCCCCCATCCCAAAATAATACTGCTGCCACAATAACAGTCATCACAAAAATACGTCTGACACAGGACAGCCAACTGGAAAGAGATCGGGTGAAATCCTGCCCACTGAAATCATTCAGGTTCATTTGTACTAAGTGTCTCAGTCCACACTAGAGAGGTGCAAAATGTAGGAAACTCTAGCATGTTGAGCACCAACTAAAAGTTCTCTAGTTCAAGTTAATGCAGTCTCATGGCAAAGTGTACTACACAAACGTGAATAAGGAAACTTTTAGTGCATTCCAGCACAGTCCACACAGGCCAGTGAATATGTAACATGCTAATGTGCGCTAGAAGCTTCACCTTTCTAAAGGAGACGAATGATCCATGCAAAATGAGCCCTTACTTCAGAGAACAAGGATTTCACCTGTCCACTCTAAGAGCAAATCATTAGGTAAACACTTTAAAATAATACATTACATGTAAGACAAAGTTTCAAGTACAATGCAGGCATCTCTTTGATGTCTTTGTTAATTTAAATATGGTAGAAGAAGCCACAGAATCTCCATAAAACAGAAAAGCATCAGACTATCCATGGTCTATAGCAAACTAAATGAAGCTACTTTAAAGAACCATTATCCATACCATGAACAGATGATACCTGGGATGCTGTGGCAGGTTCAATCTGGCTTTCCACACTAGAGATGTAGAATCCCATTTAGTTAGTTAACTGGTTAAGTGTTAAGTTTAACTGGATAACTGATAAAACGGGGATAAGTGGGAGGGCGGGCACTCCAGCCCTCCTACGCTGCAGCAGCCCCCCCACCCACTGTGGCCAGGCTGAAATGGCTTCCCCGCTGCAGGCAGAAGCTGCTCCAGCACGGCTGCCTCCCCCCCTTTGTGGAGCAGCTAGCTCCCAGTCTGCATGGGCTGGGAGCTGGCAGCCCCACACAGGGGCCCAGTGCTACTGAAGCAGCCATTAGAGGTGATGCTTACCAGGTAACCAGTTATCTGTTACCATCCCTATTCCATATGGGATCTTAAAAACAGGTATTGGCAAGTGGAAGTGGATGTAGACGATTGCTTTCACAGCAGGCCAAGGCCTGTGGTAACTTAAAAAGATGGCTTTTGGCTTACGTAATGCACCAGCAACACACTGGAAAGCGTATTGCACAGCATGCCATTCTTAGCTTGTTATACCTATATGTTATCTGGGTACATAATACATTTTTTTAACATACATGTAATTAGCTCAGTGCTGTCAATTTGAAACAGAACCCAAAGAAACATGAATTATTTAAAAAA